ATCGGGTGGTACTAGATGTTTTTTTGACTCCTGGGTATAGTCGAAACATGAAAATGTTTTCGTACACATTCGCAAAGAAACACTTCTTTCCTATAGAAAAGTTATCTTAGTCAGATTGTTTTGAAATTTTTTCAAAGGAATGGTCAGATTCCTTACGATTTCTGTAATTTTTTCCTTTTATGAGTGGAAAATTTTGGGTAATTCAGGCAGTTTTTCTTATACTGACCTGTGTTTGAACCGAAACTGGTCAACCAAACGTGTCCCGAACCCGAACTGACCCAAACGTGAGCTGATCCGACCCGACCCGACCCGTTTCGGTTTCTGCTGCATACACAGCAGAAATTCTGCACAAGCATGCATCACCGCATGCACGGCTCTCTCGTCGAACCTTGTTGTAATCTTAATACCGATACTTGTCTTAGGATAAACTGTGCCTGTTCGAACTCGTACAATTATTCAAGAACAGCATCTGATTAACAGACCACTAGATCAACTTAGTAGTTGGTTGCAATCCGTTGTTGTAGTCCTTTTATCCTGCTCTTATTTTTATTCATATTGGTAGGACGTACTATTTCAACAAATAAAGTTCTTTTCTCTTCCTCTTATTCATTGCTACAAGGTTAAATTCACCTGTCTCTATTCTGTGATCGCACTGACAGCACAGTGTTGTTGCTTAGTGATTTTTGACAGAGAGGAAAATAATACGAAGAAGAAGAACGAGAAAGATGATTATGCAGAAAACAAGTCTTATCGCATATCCCTGTGCTCCGTCACTGTAGAGTAACCGTTTGTCTTTGTAAGTACATTTTAGTCACATGCACACGCCTATGGTGAAGGTTATCAATTGTTAGTGTAAGAAAGTCGTGAAAATGAAGGAGAGCAGAGATCACGACCATAATGAATGGCATTCTTATAGACAAAAGAACGTTAATATATTTCTTTCAAATCAATCAACAAATAAATGCACAAAATTCTAAAAAAGGTTTTGCTAGCCGGACATACTCAACCGCGCCGTATTGTTCCACATGCTATGCGAGCATCGGCATTTCTGCAAACAAGAAGATGCGTATGAAAACCGAGTAGAAAGATGTCGATTGACTAACTCACCCAGTTGTGTTGTTTTCACCCTTGCCTGTATGCCCACCGTCATCAGTCAAATTGTGAATCATGATAGGTAAATCGATAACATTTCGAGTCGCATCGAATCCAATCGAAATAACTCCATCACGTAGTGCAATGTAAGCTTCTCCACCGAAATTCGTTTCAATATTGCCTAAATCAGCCACATGTTGAATTGGATCGTCTGGCATCCCATGAGAGACATCTGTGAAAGCAAGGTAATACTCTGAAACGGACCGAGAGACTCAAACCACTACTACTCACTGTATGGATTGAAATGAGCACCACCAGCTGTACAATTGTGGTTGTCTCCGATGGATGGAGAATGGATATGGAAACCCTATGATCGAGAATCATTTGCTTTTTTTCAAGTGGGAAAATAGACGACTTACCAACGTTGCATTGGGTCTCAGATGATCGACATAACCAGAAATGATAACTTCCCATGCTACTTGCTCCTCGTTAAAGCTGCTCGTTCCAATAAAAGTCACTCGTTCCGCTGAGGTACATCAGCGCCTCAGCATAGTTTCCATCACCTCTCTTTACGAGGAGGAAAACGACTAGCAAGAAAAGAAGTAGAGTGACGAGTTTCATCTTTACTGTTTATTCAAAAACTGCAGCGCAAGTGTTGCTGCTTAGTGGTTTTTGACAGAGAGGAAAATAATACGAAGAAGAAGAACGAGAAAGATGATTATGCAGAAAACAAGTCTTATCGCATATCCATGTGCTCCGTCACCGTAGAGTCACCGTTTGTCTTTGTAAGTACATTTTAGTCACATGTGCACGCGTATTGTGAAGGTTACTAATTATTGATTTCAGAAACGCGTGGAAATGAAGGAGAACAGGGAACTGTTTTATTGTGGAATAATCATGAATGGTATCCAACAGCTGGTCGAAGTTCGTTTGCTAATCAGAGTCCTCTTCCTGAAATTTGTTGGCGCACACAAATAGATTATTAGTAATCGAGTTGAGCGATCGCTCAACGTCGTCAAGGTCAAATACTTTCCATGTGCCAGCCTCGGATCGATTAGCATTTAATGGACTGGCATCCCTATTGTCGGCTGATAGATCTTGGTCACAAGTACTTTCAGTGCCACTTTGTTGCTGCCTAAATGGAATATTTCGAATTTTTCGCAAGTGTCAGCTGTCTCCGAATGTGCGATTAACGGACTTTTGCCATAATACGCTGTCGGTACGAATTTTTTACCATTGGGTCATAAATTTGAAAGCGACTATACTGTAAGAGAGAAAAGGACAATATTTCACTGATAGGACACATGGTATACACATTTTTCGAATTTTGTTTCAGTATTTCTTTGTTTACATTTGGGTAAAAATTGATCCAAAATGAAATGTGTAATAGTGGAATTCAGGAATAGTCGCGGAATATTGGAACGCAGGAATAAAGAATATTGGAACGGCAACGGACTGACCGGAATATGTTTTGAAACGCTTCCTAAGCATAGCTCTCTTTCATTCAAGATACTTCGGTTAACACAACGCTCTTCAAGAAAAATTATTTGTAAGACGTTCGTCTTTAGCAGATTTATCCGCTATAGACGTTTGCTTGCTGGATTTTCTTGCTCTTATAAAAGAAATATTAGATTGTAAATTGTATGAGTTCAACAATCATTATTTTAAAACTTTTATTTAAAACAGGAGCTTTCGACTACAACTGTAGTTATCGTCAGCTACATTTAGACGAAAGTTACAGTTGTAATCGAAAGCTCGTGTTTTAAATAAAAGTTTTAAAATAATAATTGTTGAACTCATACAATTAGTCTTTTCCTTTATGAAATTACTTTCGAAGTTTGATACAGGATTTCAAAAACATTTTGGTTTCAAAGAGAACGTCGACGTTTTGCAATCAAGAGCAATTTTGGTAAAAATATGATATTCGGAATTAGCACAGTCAATTCAGCTATTTTGTGAGATACTTTCGCCTATCAGAAACTTTCATCAGTAGCATCGCTGAGTGAGTCCGAGTCCGGACTGGAAAATATTTCGGTGGACTCGGACTTCGAACTTGCGCTTCCTGTTTCAAGTTCAATCTATTACAAAAATCAATGCGTGCTCATACTATCTACTAGACTTTTATCATACTTCAATTTCTTCTTGTTCTGTTCCCTATTTTAAAAATCCGAGCTACACATAAACGAGCAGAAAAATCTGAACAAGTTAGCCTAATTTCAAGAGGCTCAGGTCATAAGTTAATGGCCAAAAATTCAACTTATTGAAATTTGTTAGGTTCAGGCACTTGGTTCACAGTGGGCAACCACATGGAAATTAGGTGAAAAAACGAAAGTGAGTTTTTGGAAAATTCAAATAATATCTAACATACATTAACCAATTGCCGATTTATTGGGGAAAACATTTTGATCCAAGTGTTGAATGGGTTTGAGAAAAGCAAGTCGGAATTTTCGGCCAGTTTTGTCAGGCTTTTCAAAAAGCCGTTGTTTTAGCCAGCTAAAATAAATTCCAAGAAACTGAAATACATATATTCTGAAAGTTCAGCTTGCCAGCTATCGATTCGACCGACATATTAATTAACACAAATAAGGAACAATAAACAAGTAGTGCATCTGATTCTCTAGTCTACGGGAAACGAAAAGTATCAAAATTATTTCCTTATCCATTCGAAAATCCATCTAAAAGAATATTAAATATAAACTCAACTGTATTGGAAGAGCTAGAAAATTTTTGTAAAGAGCAGAGAACGAACAATGATCTTATTTTAACGAAACATCAATCATATCTTCATCTATCAAAATTAGCTCTAAAATATTTACTGTCCCTGCAACATCCGCATCGATATAGCGAACTTTTTCTAAAGCGGCTTTACCAGCCGCCTACATCGTTCAAAATTATCAGCATCAATGTTATACATATTAACATTTTTAAAATGTAATAATGATCTTCTAGAATAATGTTTTATTCTTGTGTGTTCAAATAAAGTAAAACAAATGAATAATAAAGAGTAAAATAAAAAAACTAAGACTAGAATCTGACTCTCCTTCAGCAAATAGCCAGAAAGGTATTGAAAATGGCTATCGTCACGCAGCTAAAACTTTTTTCATGAGTATCTTCGTCTTTTAGAAAATACTCGTATTCGTACTCGCCCATCTCTGATTCATACCAGTAAAATCTATTACATTCACCCTCAAAGTAGTTTTAAGGAATAATTTAAAAAATTTAATAATAAAAATTAAAAATAAATAATAAATTTGGGGATTTTCGACGGCAGAAGCTGTTTCTAATCGGAAAAAACTGAAATCTTTCCCATAAGCCATTTCGAAAAGGATATTCCTACTCAGCTCATCACGTAATCAGCTAACCATACGCGTAAAAAAAGAAAATATATTTTGCTTAAATTTTATTTCTTGATACCTTATTATTATTTTGAGCCATGCCGCTTTCGGGCACTAGCAAAAATCCAGTTTTGGCTCTGAAACCTTGGAAGTTAGTTTCTTAGGTTCAGTTTTCGATTTTGAATCCAAAACTTTTTCTGAAACTTGCGGCCACCTTTTTGAAACCTTGTGGTTTTGAGGTTTTTCACAACTTCCGAGTTTTTGAATTTTTGGACCGGTAAACAGTCTCCAAAAAAGCTAGACGCATATGTTCGTGATTAGTATACAATTCTCTATCGAACGGTATGTAAAGCGTCGAAAAATAAATTTCATTCGAAGTCTGTTTTCCAAGTGCCTTAACATATCTTTAGATTATACATATGGGAAGAACGAACGACTGTGAGCAAGATGTTTTCAACAATGCTTCGTTTAAATGATATTGTTTTCTTACTGATAATTTTCTTACTGAATAAGTCTTGGCCAATACTGCTGTCTTTATGACTCTAAAATGCATACCTTACTCATTGGTGCGTAATGGCTCGAGCAATTGGAATTGATTTAGGAAGTACATATTCGTGTTTCGGTGTCTTTCAACATGGCAAAGTTGAAATTATTGCCAATGATCAGGGCAATCGAACAACGCCCACTTATGTTGCATTCACAGATAGTGAACGATTAATTAGTGATGCAGCCAAAAATCAAGTATCTATGAATCCAAACAATACCATCTTTGATGCTAAACGACTGATTGGAAGAAAATTTGATGATTCAACCGTTCAAGCTGATATAAAATATTGGCCATTCAAAGTTATCAGCGAAGGTAAAAAACTTATTTAAGCATTTTCTAAGCAGAGATCTTTTGGAGGGCATGAGGCAAAAACGTCGTACGAGACAAAACAATAACGAAAATAATATATTTCGCTCAAAAATGGGGGTTGACTCGATAGTGGTACAAGCAAATTTTTTATGCTGATTGCTAACGATGATATTAGAGAAAAAAATTCGAATAATATTTCAAATGTTTTTGAAATGTCTACTTGACAGACTAAGTTGCGTAGGATAATTAGCGTTGGCTTAGTGACAGACTAGCTGGATCGAAACTGTTTTTGTTTACTAACAGGTTTTATTATCTTCTAGGTGGTAAACCGAAAATTCAAGTTGAATACAAAAATGAAATAAAATCATTTACACCAGAAGAAATATCGTCGATGGTTTTAATAAAAATGAAAGAAATAGCCGAAGCTTACTTGGGTTTATATTCATTTTTCGTCTTATAGTCTTGTAACTTAATTTGTGTTTTCTTTCTAGGAAAAAAAAACTTGCGATGCTGTTATCACCGTACCTGCCTATTTTAATGATTCGCAACGTCAAGCAACAAAAGACGCTAGAGTTATTGCTGACCTCAATGTTCTTCGTATTATAAACGAACCAACGGCTGCTGCCATCGCCTATGGTTTGGATAAAAAAGTTACTGCTGAACATAACATCTTGATTTTTGATTTGGAAGGCGGTACATTCGATGTCAGTATATTGAAAATTGAGGAAGGAATATTCGAAGTGAAGTCAACAGCTGGTGACACTCATTTAGGAGGTATGTTTGTTGTGTACATTGTTATTTAATGCTTAATAATATTATGTTATCTTTTCGTTATTTATAGGAGAAGATTTTGATAATCGAATGGTTTCACATTTTGTTCAAGAATTTAAACGAAAGAGTAACAAAGATATATCACAGAATAAACGTGGACTTCGTCGATTAAGAACAGCATGTGAACGTGCGAAGGTAAATATATATTAGAATATATATGACAATGGGTTAAAATTCAATTTTATTTCTTTCCAGAGAACATTGAGTGCATCAGCCTAAGCATCAATTGAGATTGATTCCTTGCATGATTTCTATTCTAACATCACACGTGCGCGATTTGAAGAACTAAATGCTGATTTATTCCGTTCTACATTGGAACCAGTTGAAAAATCCTTACGTGATGCTAAAATGGTACGTTATAAAGTTCGCACTATTATGCAGTATAGAAATCATTGTCTTCTTTTCTCTTTAATAGGATAAATCACATATACATGAAATCGTATTGGTTGGGGATTCGACACGTATTCCAAACGTACAAAAATTATTACAGGATTTCTTCAACGGCAAAGAGTTGAATAAATCAATCAATCCGGTAAGTGAAGTGACGAAAAGTCTTATTCCTTATTCATTTTATATCTTATGATTATTTGTTGAACTTAGGACGAAGCCGTTGCTTATGGTGCTGCTGTCCAAGCCGCCATTTTGACTGGCGATAAATCCGAAGAAATCAAAGAAGTTTTGCTACTGGATGTTGCCCCGTTATCACTAGGTATTGAAACTGCCGGTGGTGTAATGACTTCATTAATCAAGCGAAATACAACAATTCCAACAAAACAAACACAAACATTCACCACCTATTCAGATAATCAACCGGGTGTCGATATCAAAGTATTTGAAGGCGAACGATCCATGACAAAAGACAATCATTTACTTGGAAATGTTGTGTTATCTGGCATTCCACCCGCACCACGTAAGTCTTGAGTTTTAAAAAGTTTAGATTATAGACAAAGCATCAGAGCTATCACCAATCTACGAGAAACTCAACAAGGAGAAAATAATCCTTATTGAGGCAGAATCGGTAACTCGTACACACGCGTTATCTAATCCTGAATGCATTCTTTCAGTATTTTTATGGACCCATCCTAAATGTCATTTTTTTCATTGATTTGTTTTTAGGTGGTGTCCCACAAATTGAAGTTACATTTGATATTGATGCTAATGGTATATTGAATGTATCAGCTGTGGACAAATCGACTGGACGTGTAAATAAAATTACCATTACGAATGATAAAGGTCGCTTATCAAAAGATGAAATTGAACGTATGGTTTCTGATGCTGAAAAACATAAAAAGGAAGATGGAGTACAACGTGATCGTATTACAGCTATAAATGGTTTAGAAACATATTGTTTCAATATGAAAACAGCCATGAGCGATGATAAATTAGCAGGAAAAATTAGTGATGATGATAAAGCAAAAGTAACATCGACCATCGATGACACATTAAATGGTTAGAAGCAAATCGATTAGCGGAAAAAGATGAATTTGACCATAAATTGAAAGAAGTCGAAAAAATATGCTCTCCTATAATGACAAAATTATATCAAGGTGAAGGTGGAGCAGCTGAATCAAGAGGTAAGAAACTACATTTGCGTGCTCTCCTGACAGCAAATTTATGATCTGATTTATGTGTTTTAGGTGGCAAAGACAGTGGACCAACAATCGAAGAAGTTGATTAAAAGTATCAGATAGAATAGTAAACTCGGAAAACAATATCAGCTTGTATTTGTGTGTGTGTGTGTTTCTGTATTCTGTTGGAGAGTTTGTTTCGTAAAAACTTTTTTTGTCGTCTTTCTGTGTCACTCTGTATTTGTGCAAAGGTAGAAAAAACAAAAAAGATACTAGTGAATGAATAAAGACAAAGAATAAAGTAATTCTGAAAACTCGGTGAGTTGTCGATCTGAAGTATTTCAAGGAAGCGAGAAAAAGACTTCTGATAACCAGTGCCTTGGGATAGAAAAAAGCCGAAAGGATGTAACAGGTCATCGCCATTACATTATTCTCCTTTCTTGATTTTATTGCAGATTCTAGAAATGCTCGAAACTTTGGAGCTTCGCGGTTTTTAGGGAACCAAATCATAGACAAATGAAGTTATTTATTATTTATTAATTTAACAAAAGTCTTTTCCTGAGAAAGAAACCAAAACGTAAAAACAAAACGTAATATTGGTTGGAAAGCGCTTCCGTTTGAGATATATCAGTGTTGACATCCTATGAATTCGCGATTATTTGTTGTGCGTGCCCTTTTCTTATGGTTTTGTAGAGAATTAAATAGAAAATCTTTTGAGACAACGTTCAAGTCTCTACAATGAATACTCACCGAAATATTGATGAAATACTGACGGTATCATTATTTATCCTTGATACCATTGATTAAGGATAGAAGGATGGTAGAAGGCAGCCCCAGTTACTGGACTGACGAGGGAACTGCCCCAAGTGTCCGCTCGCTTTTTTGTTGAAATCTAGTGGAGAATAGGTTATCGACTATGCTGATTCCGAATATGACAATGGTTTTTGCTGCTAGGCCTTCGGAGACCTGGTTTTC